TATCTTCCCATTCAGTTCATATCTATCTATGCCACTCTGCTCATATCTCTCTATCTCAATATCTATCTATCTATCTATCTATCTATCTATCTATCTATCTATCTATCTATCTATCTATCAGCATGTTAATTATCTATCTGAGTGATCTATCTATCTCAGTCTGTTCATATCTATCTCTATCTCTCAGTCTGTTGTTTCTATCATCTATCTATCTATCTATCTATCTATCTATCTATCTATCCTTACTTATCGACCCGAACTTTTCCTATGTGCATTCCATTAAATGCCTTTATGAATCCTTGTGTATATTTCTTCATCCATGTCAACCTTTTAATGTCACTCTCTAATTTCTTTTAGATATCTATTTCATTTCTTTAAATATTTATTTTGTTCATATAGTATGCCAAACTGTTGTTACCTAATGAAGATGATATATGTATATGTAAATATGAAATTATGTTGATTTTTTTATTTATTTTTGCCTTGACATTTCGCTTCTTTTCTTTTAACGTGCCGTGTCCTTTCAGGACGTACCTCTCCACCTCCTTCTATCCCTTGCAGCTCTCAACATATTTCTTCCCTCTGCTTCCTCCCCCAGACCACGTTCTGTCATCCACTTGCTTAAGTCCGCCAAGTATGTCATGCGTTGTTTTCCCTTGTCTCTCTTTCCCTCTATTCGACCCGTGAGTATCAGATTCACCAGGCCCTCTTTCCTCATTATGTGTCCCAGAAATTTCTTCCTGGTATTAATTATAAGCCTTCTTCTTTGCAAACTCTCTAAGACGTTATCGTTGCTCACACGCTCGGTCCATGATATCCTTAGCTTCCTCCTGTAGAATCACATCTCCGTCGCCTCGAGGCTCTTCTTCTTCTTTGAGAAAATCGTCCAACATTCGCTGCCGTATAGAAGGACAGATGTCATTGTAACAACTCAGTACTCTTTTCTTTGTGTCCTTCGAATGTGTCCTTGGCCATCCCAATACGTCTACGGATCTCAGTGTCACACTTACCGTCCTCTGTCAAGACGCTTCACAGATATTTAAACTTCCGCGTCTGCTTGATTCTAGTGTTCCCGACTTTCAAATCGCATTTCGGGCTCATCTTCTTACTCATGATCATGCATTCTGTTTTCTTGTATTTTATGCTTAGACCTTCTTATTCTCCGTCGCTACCTTCTGTAGGAGATTTTGTAATTTTTTTCCCGTGTCTGCTATCAGTACTGTGTCATCAGCGTATCTTATGTTGTTAAGATTGTGTCTGCCGATGCTAAATCCCGGTAGGATTTCCAATTCTTTCAGAATTGCCTCGCTGTATAGGTTGAACACTTCTGGTGAGAAGACGTATCCTTGCCTTACGTCCTTTTCTATTTTTGTATATTCACTGAACTAGTTCCCTTGCGTATGCATGCCGTTTACTGCCAGTATAGGTCAGTCTGATATATTTCCCGAATATATCAAGGTTGCTGAGCAGTTCTATCAAATCCTTGTGTGGTACTTTGTCGAAGCATAGGTATACGTCCTTCTGCATTTGTATAGCTCTTTCTGATAACATTCTGAGCATGAATATTGCATTTCTTGTTCCAGTGTCTTTAACGAACCCGCACTGTTCTTGTCCTATCTCTGGGCTGATTCTGCTTCGCGCTCTGTTCATTAGAATACAGATGATGATTTTTGTCACGTGGCTTATTACGCTTATTGTTTGGTGGAGTTCCCATTCGTTTGCGCCTGTTTTCTTAGGCATAGCTGCGAAAATAGACCTTCTAAGGTCTTCCGGTGTATCTCCGTTGTTGTAGATTTCATTTGTTATTTCGGTGATTTTGTCTATGCCAAAGTCATCTAAGGTTGTCGTTCCAATTCCGTTAGCTTTGCTGCCTTGTTTTTGTTCAATTTGGCCAGTGCGGCTTTTGCTTTGGTTTTCAGAATTCCAGGTCCGTCGATAGTTCTGTGTATTGCTGGTTGTTCTCTTTCGTCATGGAAGAATTCTCCAATATACTCGCTCCAGCGTTGACGAATTTTTTCCTTCTCTAATATGAGCATTCTATCCTTTGATTTTAGGCAGCCTGTTAACGAGCATGTCTTCTGTCCTGTTAGTTGTCTTATTTATTTGTGCATGTCTCTTTTGTTGGTAGTACTTAATATTTCTATTTCTACACATTTTTCGTTTAGCCATTCTTCTTTAGCTTGCCTGCATTTGGTCCTTATTTCATTGTGTAATTTTCTGTATTCCGTTAAGTATCTTGGGCGAATTTTCTGTCTCCTTTCGATCATGTCGAGAATCTCATCAGTCATCCATTCGTTTCTCCTTCTTCATCCTCTCTCCTATGGGATGAGATGGTTTGCTGATGTCGCTAAAACGTCACTTACTGCATCCCATTTTGAGTTTCCATTCCGTAACAAGTATCGTCTTTTCACATTGTCTATGTATTTTTCTTTTAGATTAGGATCGCTCAGAGTTTTTTTTTTTTTTGTATTTCAGTTTGGGTGCTGCGTTAGGCTTCTTCAATTTTTGGCAGTTTCAATCTTAGTTTACATGTAACAGGGCGATGATTGCTTCCGCAGTCGGCGCTTTAGTAAGTTTTGCAGTGAATCATTGCATTCCTGAATCTTTTGTTGATGGTTATATAATCAATTTGGGTTTTAGTTCCACGTCCTAGGCTCCTCCATGTCCATAATCGTCTCTGATCTTAGAAGTATGTGTTGGTTATTACCTGGTCACTGGCTGTCTTCTTGTCTTGTAACGGCATTCACCCGGGGTGGGTTGAGCTGGCTCCAATATTGGAGCTTCATAGGAATTTGGAATTCACAAGCGGTCCCCAAACCCGCATGTATAGGCTTCAGATCAGTTCCTAGGAAACCGACAGCCCGACAACAGCACATGAGATTTGATTATAGTGGTGAAGGTTTCGTGCAGGACCAACCACACTTTTTGAGGGGCTGAATACAGAGACCTGGTGCACTAAGTGCCACAAGGTCCCCAAACGACCCTCTGCAGGTTTTGAATTAAGAATTTTCCTTCTCCTAGACCAGTTGCCATCCAAGGCTATAGAACCCAGTCTGTCCTGTTATTTTACCCAAAGCTGGGGGGGGAGAAGAAGAGGATTCACACCTTTTCCAAGGGTGTTAGCACATAAGTGAATGTAATGGATTCGAATGGAATTCGAACTCGGCTCTCCGATTCCCCAATCCAAGCCGCTATCCATTACTCCACCGTGCCTCTTGGCTGTGCATCATTGGATCCATTTTTCTCCGCGTTCGTTGCAGGTTTCTAATTCGAATCTTTCTGCTACATCCCCTTCCCTCTCGCTACCTAATTGGCTGTTAGGTCTCCCATGATAATGATAACTTCCTATGATTTGCATAGAGCCCTGACACTGTCCAGCATGGAGTAGAACGATTCGATGTCCTCTTCCCTACTTTGTGCCACACGACTCTGATGGCCACGTTGAAAGGTTTCCCTACCAGAATTATTTTGGGAAGTTAGTGGTATCCTAGAACGCATTTCATAAGTTCACTATCTAGTATTAGTCCTACTCCTCTGTCGTTCTTCTCTCGCCTGCATAAATTAGCTGACACCGTTGTTTGACCACTGGTTTCACATACACATAGAATGTTGATGTTAAGTTTGTTCATCTCTTGTTTAATATTATCAAACTGGCTGCATTTGTTGAAAGTCCGGACGTTCCATATCCCGAGTGTTATTTTGTGTTTGATACGAGCAGTCGCAGGATAACGGTCCGATGGCACCTGTCACTCATATCGTTCATGTCATTCCTTTCCGGGCGAGGGATAAATTCCGAGGACTTTTATCCCCTTTACACCGTGTATGCGAGCAGTCGCTGGATGACGGTCAGGTGACGCCTGTTGCGCATGTCGGTCCTTACCGAGCGAGGAGATAATTCCCATAGACATACCCCCCCCACCCAACAGAAAAAAAAAACTGACATGGCAGCAAAGAAATGCTTAAAAAGTAACAGATCAAATCAGATGCAACAAAGAGAACAGAAAAAAATGGCCGAGGAAAGAAAAAAAAAAGAAAGTTCAATGATTTGGAGACTTAAAAGAATTAACCATATTTGCAGAAATGTTATAAAATAAAAATAAAGATTCTGAATTTTTATAATGGCAAAATAAAGATTTAAAAAAGAACTTATGCTGATTTTTTCAAGAGACAGTATAAGTGAGTTATCTGCACTTGTTTAAACATATACTTTATACTGTCATTCTTTGTTTGAATTGTTTTGCTATCCTCCATTTTTAGAGATAAGAATGACATTTTTTTCAATCCAAATTTGCAGATAAGCAACATAAAAAGGGAAAATAGGTAAATACAGTTAAACAAGAGTTTATATTATTTGTAAAATATATCTTTTCACTTAAAATAAATTTTTCTTCTTCGGTGTAAAATTAAAATTATAAAACTTTTCGTTCATAATTCTCACGAAGAATAAATAAAACTTGCTAAACACCCTAAAACTAATACCAGTCGATCTATCTTTTCAGAAGAAATTGATAACATATTACAGGAGCACCTACACTATAAACATATATATACCGATGACTAAAAAAGTATTGATAATGTTGGATATTCAGCTGTTCTTGATGACAAAACAATAAAAAAAATGCCTACTTTTTGATGCTGAAGCTATAGTCATACATTTAGCTTTAGACATCATAAGAGAAAATGAACCTAGACAATTTAATAGTTTTCTAAGATTCACTATACGTACTTACATCACTGAGAAGCAAAAAGCACATATGATCCGTTAATAGTTAAATTACTGAACGGGATCAATCTCATCTGTAAGAAAAAAAACCCCAAAAAACTTGCCTTGTTGGGTACCTAGGCTCGGATTGAGGAATCGGAGTGCCGAGTTCGAATTCCAGTCGAATCCATTACATTCACTTATGTTTTAATACCCTTTCAAAAGTTATGAATCCTCTTCTTCTCCCCCAGCTATGGGTAAATAGCAGGACAGATCGGGGGTCTGTAGACTTGGATGA